TTATTTATTATGTATACAGTGTTCTGCCTGCGTGTCAGATCTCATTACAGATGGTTGTGAGCCACCGTGTGGTTCCTGGGAATTGAACTCAGGACCTCTGGAAGATCAGCCAGTGCTCTTAACCGCTGAGCCATCTCTCCAGCCCAGGCGCACGCTTTTAATCCCAGCACTAGGGAGGCAGAGCCAGGCGGATCTCTGTGAGTTCGAGGCCAGCCTGGTCTCCAAAGCGAGTTCCAGGAAAGGCGCAAAGTTACACAGAGAAACCCTGTCTCGAAAAACCAAAAAAAAAAGGCATGATTTCTGTGTGTAGCCCTGGCTGTCCAGGAATTTGCTATGTACCAGGCTGCCCTTGAACCTGCAAAGACCCACCTGCCTCTGCCTCCGGAGTGCTAGGATTAAAAGTGCACACCACCACCTGGCTTTGTGCTCAGTTTGCATGTATTCTTTATTAGATTTTTTCTATTTATTTATTTATTTATTTATTTATTTATTTATTTATTTTGGTTTTTCAGGACAGGGTTTCTCTGAGTAGCTTTGCGCCTTTCCTGGGACTCACTTGGTAGCCCAGGCTGGCCTCGAACTCACAGAGATCCGCCTGGCTCTGCCTTCCGAGTGCTGGGATTAAAGGCATGCGCCACCACTGCCCGGCGATTTTTTTCTTTTTTAATATGTGTGTGGGTGTCTTGCCTTTATGTATGTCTATGCCTCACAGTTGTGTAGTACCAGAGGAGGCCAGAAGAGGGCGTCAGATCCTCTGGAATTGGAATTAGAGATGATTGTTAGCGGCCATGTAGATGCAGGGAATCAAACCTGGGTCCTCTGGAAGAGCAGTCTTGTTGCCGATAAGTCTCTTAAACAGTAAGTCATCTCTCCAGCCCTATTTACGGTTTTCAGAGATAGAACTACATTTTCCAGATGAGAAAAATGAAGTCTTACATCACACAGAGCTGGGGGGTCAAGCCTTGTTTGACCAGAGCCACATTCCTCCCCAGCTGGTGAATACTGTGTGCTGAAGAGGAAGCGCACTGGATATCTACTACCCTGGGGGGCTAGCACTGAGTGTGAGCTCATCAGCGAGGGCTTGAAGATCAGTGGCCTCAGTGGCCACGGCTGGGCTGAGCACACTAGGGGGTGTGCGGCCTGCGGCCAGGACCTCATCGTTGTGTAGTGGATGGACAGGCAGATTGTCCTTCATCACGTATTTGTGCACCGTATTGTTTCACTGAAAGAGATCCCTTGCCCAAACTGCTGGACACCCCCAGCCTCAGCACCCAGGTGCGGAGAGAGGTGGAGACAGGAACACTGTGGTTGGGCCTAAGATGGGGAAATAACATGGTTATGGGCACACAGAACCTTCGTATAACACTTCCTCCCCCACCCCCATCCTCTCAGTAGAGTGGTTAGTGATGTGAGCGTGTCCTAACCAGTGTCTCTGAGCTCTTGGCTGAGTGTGAAGCAGAGGTGTGGTCTCCTGTGTGTGGCAGGTGAGGGGAGGCTGGGTGGGCTCTGGGGGACCCGACTACCTTCCCTGCAGAGTTAGCATTTGGCTGGGCTTTGAGTAGCAGGCTGCATGCCTTCCAGGTGGAGGGGAGACGGGTGGAGACTTGGGAGCCAGGCGGCCAGAATTCTGTTCCTGTGGCTTGTTTGCCTTGCCTGGGGCAAGTTGCCCTTCCAAAGGGCAGAATAGAGCCTAACTGTGAGCGCAGAAGAGCCTGTCTTGCTGGGCGTGATGGCACAGGTGCATAATCACAGAGGCAGGTGGGTCTCTTGAGTTCAAGGCCAGCCTGGTCTACATGCTGAGTTCCAGGTCAGCCAAGGCTGTATATCAAGACCTTGTCACAAAACAAGGAAAGGAACGTAGCTCTTAGGGCCACCTGGAAGAGAGCTTGTGCTGTATACAAATTAAAGCATCCAGGGTCTGTGCACAGTGCTGGTATCTAATGCTGGCTTCTGTATCTATTACTGCTGGAAAGAGGGCTGGGGCTTAGCATTGATGGGGTAGGGCGAGCACCCCTTGGATCCCTTCACCTTCTGTCCACTCTCGGGATTCTCAGGGCCCCCCTTACTCTCCCTCTCCTCTCCTCTCCTCTCCTCTCCTGGGAGTGGACTGGGCACCCCAGGCCCCCTCCCCGGGCTGTCTCCGGAGCTGGACCCCTTTGAAGCGCCTGCAGGTCTATTTTGAGAGCTGATTCTCCCGCCTCCCATCCTCTCTTCCTGTTTATGAAACCCTGATCCCTCCCGGATCCCTTATGCTCCCCTGGCCCTGGAGCTTAGGCAGGATGTGACTCTGGGCTTTAGGGAGCCTCGGGCAGCCTCAGGTATTGAGAGAGACTTCTCTTGGATGCCGGAAACTAACCAGATTACCTGCTTCGCACCTGGGACGCATGCCTGGGCTCTCTTCCTTTAGCCTGCCCTGGGGAGAGCCTGTGGTCCAGTAGAGAGAGGTTTTGTTTACAATGTCTCCTTTCTCCATGGCCCGTTTGGCTTCTGGAGAACCTTCATTTGAACAGAGGAAGGCTGATCCCGAGATAACGATTTTTTGCCTGGGAGCACCTGGCTGGCACGGAGTCATTGCTCCACTTTCTAAATGCCTTGCTCACAGTGCTTTCTCAGCATGGACTCTTTTCTTAGTCCCTTTCTGTCCAGCAAATACCTGTTCATCCTCAAGAGCCAGCTGGACTGTATCATTCGGAAAGGGCTCCTGGACCTCACCGCCCTGACGGTCTCTACCTCAGGGCAGCTGTAGCACCTTAACCGAAGCTCTGTGCCAGGACAGTTGTGTTTTGTTACCAGGTATTTCTTTTTGGAGCTACCTGAGGATCAGACCCAAGCCAGCCTTAGCTGTGTGTGCTTCCTAGTATCTGTCTCCCACCTGGGCAAAGCAGGGCCCAGGAGCTGTCAGTCACGTCCAGAGAAGAGGCACGGGTCTCTAGTGCTTACGGGAAAGCCTTGATGGAGATGTCGGGGTGGGAGGGGATGGGGGTCCAGCGATGAAGTATGGGGAAGTTTTGGCTGGCTCGGGAGCAGGCTTTTTAGTTTAACTCTTGGCTGTCCCCAGGGTCATCCACGTGGGTTCGGGCTTGTCATTTTCCTGTCTGAGTCCTATTTGCTTATCCCTGAAATTGGAAGAGGATCCTTCCTCGGGAACTGTGCCAAGCCCAGGCCTGGTGGATCTGCCTCAGCAAAGGCTGAAGGAAGGAGTGACCATGTGGTTAAATGACCATGTGACGGGAGGCTCAGGTCTCATTGCTCCTTGCCCGGCCTGACCTGGGACCTGGGACCAACGACCAACCCCTCCCCTGGGATGCCTAGGCACAGTCAGCCTGCCAGGAAGCATGCTGGGAGTCATACCTGGAAGGCCCTGCAGATTTTGCTGGCTGGAGAAGAGATGGTTGGTAGCCATTGGAGCCAGCAACTGAGAAGCATTGGCCATAGTGGGCAGGACACCCAGAATAGAGCTCCTAGGGGACCAGGTTCAGATGCTGTGGCTCTGGGCTTGTCTTCCTGCTGCTCTGTGGAGGAACAGGGCCAGGACTCAGGAATGTAAGCTGATGTCTGTCCTCCCCCCCATACCCATCAGAGGCTTCAGGTCCTCACAGTTCAGCAAAGGCAGTTTTGAGGCCATTTCCTTCCTCTGCCCCTTCTGGTACCCTGCTCACCACAGGGCTTCTTTCCTGGTTTATGAGGACTAGTGGGTTGAGGGAAGCCTGGCATAGGTGTTTGTGGCTAGTCTTCGGGCAAGCTGCCTTCCTGAATCAGCAGCAGGCACTTCGGTCTTGGGGAGGAATCTTTCACAAGTCCACAGGCCATCTACCACAGACTTATCAGAGCCCTGTGAGGAAGGGAAGGGGAAGTACATGTGTGTGAGGAGCATGTGTTTCTCCACTGCGCTGTCTAGAAAGGGTTTCCGATTACCAGCCTGAGTGTATCTGCTGGTTCCTGTGGGTGTGTTGATGACGGTTGGTGAAGCCCTGTAGAAGGCCTGGTCCACTCTTGCCCTCAGGAGCCCATTTCTCTTCTTGGGTCTTCTGACTTATTATCCATCCCGGGTCTTAAGATTAGTGTGTCTGAACAGAAACAGGATGAGGCAGGATGCTGCCTGCTCTGTGGGGTGAGGGGTGTCTCAACTCCGGGCTGGGCTAGCCAGACTGGCCTTGCTGACGTCTGTCCTATATGTTCCTGGGGAGCCCCTAGTGTGTATATTTTCAAGTGCTGAATACATACCGTGTGGGCATCTCATCGCCATGTGACTTATATCTACATTCCTGTCTTCCCTCCTTGGGGGTCAGGAGACAAATAGTGAGGTACCTTTGGGCTCTCCCTGGGTCACAGCTTGGGGTCTGCAGTTCCCTCTCCTTATCAGGGGAGCCTAGCCCATCTTGAGTTCCTCCTTCCTGTGAAGAGGGAAGTGAGAAGGAGGGGAGCCAGAGACCCTGCCTTCTGGGCGAGGAAGGCTAAAAAAAGCAGAAGTCGTAGGAGTAACGGGCCCCTCCGGCCAACAGCTTGAGTCCCACCATGCAAACCCCAGCAGATTTCCCCAGGGTTGAGAGAGACTCCGGCTTCTGTCCCAGAAAGGTGAGGAGATGGGTAATTTGTCTCCACAAGTGCCTGCCATCCTGACTCTGGGCACAGAATAGGTTTGGGGAAAGCTCTCTGTCCCCAGTGGGTCTTCTCAGGCAGACAGTGGACTTGAGCAGCTGATTCCGGGGTGGGGTGAGCTGAATTGCTGTGTGGCCTCGGCCTAGCTGCTGTCAAGTCTTCTGCCTGTTCCCCCAGATGGCTCTGGGGGGACTGATTCTCCTACAGTGTTCTTGGGTTTGATGGTGCCGTTGAGACTCTTGGAGTCCCTGAGAGTGACACTTTGGAATGGGAAGTCCCAGGCTGGCTTTAGGACTGAGAGAGGGCAGGCTCGGGTGGGCAGGAAGTGGGCTCCGTCTGACTTACCTGCCCACCCTTTCCTGGCCCTTGACGCTGCTGACTGAGGAGGGACTTGGCTCAGGACAGCTCTGCCATTGGTCTGTCTTGAACCTGAGCCACAGTTCCCTGTTCCCTGAGAGGGGCCAGAGGTTTTAGAGATATTTAGGTCAGAGTTCACTTAAGAGATGGCTCTCTCGGCCTCTCCTTCAATCCTGGGGCCACCTAGGAAGTCCCTGGGAAAGTTTTGGAAGACCCCACAGAGATGGGATTGCGCACAGACTCGGTCCTGGGGCCGGTAGCTTGTTTCCTCTTGTATCTTCCCACCCTAAGCACTTGGGGAAGAGCCTACAGCTCTGCCCGGGGTCCTTCCCTGGGGATCCCCGCCCTGCCACTGGCTGGGTTTGCCCTGGATGCCCGTCAGTCTGTGGAGGTTTTGAGCTCTGCCCGGCTCTATCTCTCTTGTTGGGTTCCAGGACCTGTCTCTAATTGATAAGTGCCTGTCTTCATGAATTGGGTGCATGATAAATGTTGAGTGGCTCCTTTTGTCTCTGCATGTTCCCATGAGTCTGTCTCTCACGGGCTCCCTCCTGTGTAGTGGCTGTGTGTGTTCTTGCCTTTGCCTCTTGGTACAGATCTCCCACCCACCTCGGTGTTGCATGTGTGCCTGGCTGCCTCTGTCTGTCGGGTAACGGTCCCAGTCCATCTCTTGCTGCCTGGGGATATGTCCAGATAGTATGCCTCCCTGTCCGATGACTGTGTATGTACTACGTACATGTACACAGTGTATGTATGTCTTCCGGCCCCTGCCTGATGGGCGTCTGTCCTTGTCTGCTGCTACATACTAGATGCCCATCTGTGCCTACCAGGTACCTTGTCAGGTCCCTGTTCTAGGACCAATCTGCTCAGCAGCTGGGCTGGGCTGGGGCTTTCTCTTCGTAGGCCTACAGGGAGGATGAAGGGGAGGGCCAGAGGGCCGACCTCAGGCACCGGGGAGTAGGGGGAGAGAGAAGAAGGGAGCAGAGTGAGGGTGGAAGCCGGGAGCTGGGAAACCACAGGCCCTGTGTGATTGGCTGTCTTGGGCCTGGCCCAGCCCCCCACGCCCTCACCCTGCACATCCGCCTTGGGCCCAGCCACCTCCCCGGCAGTCCTGGTGGGTTGTTGCCTACCCTTGCCATGGTGCCGTGGCCCTGCTGGGCGGATGGAGCAGGACCCCAAGCTGCCCCGTCTGCGGCTCAGGGCCCTGCTCCCCTGGCTGCTCAGGAAGCAACGGTCCAGGATCAGCCAGACTCTGCCTGGCCCTGGCCCTGGCCCTGGGCCCCAGCAGGACTCGGTAAGTGTACCCGGATATCTGGTCCTGGCTTGGCAGTAGCCCCTGGAACAGGTGTTAGGCAGCGAGTGTGGCCTAAGTTAGCTTTTGACTCTCCTGGCCCTGCTGGATGACCGGACCTTGCCTGGACTTACTTCCTGGGGAAGTAAGGAGGCATCTCGGTGCCTCAGGGCAAGACTGGCAGATTAGAAGGCCAGAGAGGTCCCAGAACAGCAGTGACCAGATAAGGGCTCCTAGGTGCTTCTCAAGGGAAGTTTGGTGGGACATAGCGTCTTTAGCCTTAACCCTCGACTGCTCCACATGGGCACTGAGCGGGCCGAGAGGGATGTCTGAGTGACTCTTGGGTCTCTGTGTACCTTAGTCTTATCCATACAACCAGGAGGTGTGCCCCATCTCATCCTGACTAGCAAAAAAGGCCCAGCTCTACCTCCCCATTATGAGCTCAAACCTGACTTCCTATTGTGGCAAAACCCAAACAGTTGGGGGGAGGGGAGCCTCAGGGGCGGGCCTAAGAAGGTCCCTACACCAGACCCAAGGCTTGAGTCTACTCGTCCTGGCCATGTCTTTACCTCCCTTTGGGTCTGAGCAGGCCCATGCATCCATGCCACAGGAACAGGGCCTCACCTGAGGTGGCACTCTGGTAGTTGGCCTCCTTGGCCTTTGAGATGCTGTTGGTACCCATGAGCCTGAAGGCTGTGGGGGGAGTGGTCTGTTGGGCCTGTTTTTATCTGGTGGGATGCCTTGGATAAGCTGTATGCCATGTTGCCCGGGAAGGGCCCCACGACTACTACCTCTGTCCACCTGTCAGGATGAGGGCGTCCTCAAGGAGATCTCCATCACACACCACGTCAAGGCTGGCTCCGAGAAGGCTGATCCATCCCATTTTGAGCTCCTTAAGGTTCTGGGACAGGGATCCTTTGGCAAAGTAAGTCAGGAAGTTCCTTATTGGGAGGGCATTGCAGATCATGTCTGAGGTGGGGGGGGGCACCACAGGTCATGTCTGAGGTGGGGGGGCACCACAGGTCATGTCTGAGGTGGGGGGGCACCACAGGTCATGTCTGAGGTGGGGGACACCACAGGTCATGTCTGAGGTGGAGTGTCGGGTTACCTGGGAGTCCACTAGAGGATCAGAGGACAAGGGTAAGAGGTCACCTTGATAACCCAGGGAGAGCAGAAGGTCAGCTTAGGATTCCAGGGTCAATGTGGAGGCTGCGAGCTAGTTGGGGCAGCCACCTCTCACCCCCTCCCTGGTTTTTCCTGCCTTCTCCCTTCTCAGGTCTTCCTGGTTCGCAAGGTCACCCGGCCTGACAGTGGGCACTTGTATGCCATGAAGGTGTTAAAGAAGGCCACGTTGAAAGGTGAGTAAGAGAGCTTCCCTGGGCAGAACTGAAGCTGGGCTGAGGAGGAGGAGGAGGAGGAGGAGGAGGAGGAAGGCCAGGCCGCAGGGCTGTGGAGCTGATGAAGGAGGAGCCTGCTGTCAGGAGCCTCTAGGATGGAGGCGGAAAGCAAGCCGACACTCAGCTGCCCCCCCCCTTTCCCTCCTCCAAAACCAAGTGAAGGCCTAGTGGGGTGCAGAACACTGGGGGGGGGGAGACTCTGAGCTATCACATTGTTGGGCCAAAGTGTTGTGTTGGCAGACTTGCTTCATGATGCCCAGAAGCCTAAGGGGGACCTCTCTGGCCCCTGGGAGGTTCAGGGCATGAGAGAAGCAGCAGGGAGCCTGAGGGGGTAGAAGGTGGGGACCCCTAAGAGAAGATGAGTTGGGGGCCAGGCCGCAGAGCTGAATGATGGAGAGGTTCAGACAGGAGCCCCAAGCCAAAACCCAGAACTCTGGAGACTTAGAAAGTGTATGCAGATGGTTAGTGGTTGACTGTGGGTCAGTTGTTGATTCTGATTGGTCTGGGAGCCAGTGTGGCCAGAAATCAGGTGGAGACCAGGGGGTGTAACATGGAGAAAGGGAGGGGTCATCCATAAGGACAGAGCTGTCCTTGGCCTGCCTAGGGCTGTCTGCTAGATGGTAGTGGCTTTAGTGTAGGCTGGCAGGAGATCATCCCTCAGGAGAAATCATGGGAACTGCAGGGCAGGAGAAAGACAAAAAGATGCGCTCCCTACTGTAAGGGGCTCATGGACTGAGTGGGAGAGTCTTGCCGTGGACTGGCAGTGAGGTAGAGCAATGCCAGGCTTGTGTGCATGGATGCCCAGGCCAAGGAGTTGAGGGATAGGCATAGATTCATAGAAGTCAGGTGAGAGGTCTGGGAACTCTGGGGGTTGGGGAATGTAGGACCTGTGCCTTGAAGGATGCTGGGAATTTACTAGAACAAGATGACAAGGTTTGGACGCCCGGGAAGGAGGAACCATGTCCCTGAGGTGGCTGGAAATGTGAGGTGTGGTTGAAAGAGGCAGCCCTAGTTAACTGCAGCCTGGCCCCTGACACATCTGGATTAAAACAATAAGAAATGGTGTAATGGGAGGCACCAGCATCATGGAAGCCCAGAGCGCCCGGCCTGGCCTGCAGCGATGCTTCCTGGAAGTGGTAGGGTCTGAACCCAGTCAACCAAAACCTTGTTGGTGGTCAGAATTGGCCTGGCGACTTCTGTTTTTTATCCCCACCCCCACCTGACATTCATAAGAAGCACGTTGGAGGTAGAGGCAGAAGGATCCAAAGTTCAAGGCCAGTGGTGGCTGCATAGTGACTTTGAGGCAAGCCTGGACTGCGTGGGAGCTTGTCTCAAATAATCCTCTGTGGTAATATACTGTGTACCCTAATAAAATTTGCCTGAAGATCAGAGAACAGAACAAGCCACTAGATTAAACATAGAGGCCAGGTAGTGGTGGCATTGGCCTTTAATCCTAGCACTCGGGAGGCAGAGATCCATCTGTATCTCTGTGAGTTCAAAGCCACCATGGACTACATGAGATTGACTCAGTCTAGGAGAGAAACAGAGCCAGGCAGTGGTGGCACACAGCTTTAATCCCAGCATTAGGAAGGATGAGACAGGAAGTAATGGCTGGGTGGAGAAAGGTAAATAAGGCGTGAGGAGACAGGAACTGAGACTTTTTCAGGAGTCCTAGAGGTGAGACATGGCAGTGGCTTGTTCCTTTGTCTCTCTGATCTTCAGTCAAATTTTATTAGGGTACACAATATATCAGCACAATCCTCCCCAGCAACAAAACAAAGAAGAAAAGAAAAACATTAATAAAAAATGCTTGTGAAGAATGTCTGCTTAGCCCCACCCAAGAATCACATTTTACTGTTGCATTAAATCTTGTGGAAATGGAAAGGGAATTAATAAAGGTGTGCTTTATTATTTATTTATTTATTAATAAAGGAGGTACACAGTCAAAGTCTGGGGACCGCGGGACCCTAGGGTGCAGGATGCTCAGTGGCTAGAGAACATGGTGGAAGACTAGACACCAGGACTCTGCCTGGACTTCATGAGGAAGGGAGCCAGAGAAGTGTCGGCAGGAGAGGGCAACCGAATGCCCCAAGGGCCAGAGAGTCTCGGAGTGCAGACTCGGAAGGATGGGTGGGAACCGGCACGTGGAGTTGGGCTTGGGGAGGCTGTGTGGCGTGTGTAGACTTTCAGTGACCTCCTTTCTCTGGCCAGTGCGTGACCGTGTTCGGACCAAGATGGAGAGAGACATCCTGGCTGATGTGAACCACCCATTCGTGGTGAAGCTGCACTATGGTGAGATCACAGACCCTCTCCGGGGCCACCTTCTCCGTGTCCACCCCTGCCTGTGACGTTCCTTGTCCCTTGTCCCCGCCTCTCATGGGCCAGCCCACAGGCGCCAGGAACAGTGGCACTGGTCACAAGACCCAGCTGACTCCACCCTGGCTTCTGTCCTCTCTTAGCCTTCCAGACTGAGGGCAAGCTCTACCTTATTCTGGACTTCCTGCGTGGTGGTGACCTGTTCACACGACTCTCAAAGGAGGTAAGCAGACGTCCCGCTGCTGGGGATGTGATGCAGGGGCCCATCCCGGGCGGGGCCTTGTGAAGAACTCTCAGTGTGGCCTGGGCCTGTAACTTCCCGGCTTGACAGTCCCCGAACTCAAGAAATGTCACCTGACCTGAAAGAGAGGCCGCCCCTGGCAAAGCCTCTGTGAGTTTCTCTAAGGATAGGCTGACGAATGGGTAAATGTGACTGTTCTCTCTAGTTGCTAAGGGAATCTCTCAACACTTGAGGTAGAGAGCCAAGGGCTGTGCTGGTCCAGGGAAAGAAGCGCGCGCGCGCACACACACACACACACACACACACACACACACACACACACATGCACACACACACACACAGAAACTAGATGTAAAGTTCTTGCCAGGTGGTGGTGGCGGCGGCGCACGCCTTTAATCTCAGCACTCAGGACACAGAGGCAGACCGATCTCTGTGAGTTCGAGACCAGCCTGGTCTACAGAGTGAGTTCTAGGACAACCAGGGCTACACAGAGAAACCCTGTCTCGAAAAACAAAACAAAACAAAAACCCCCAAAGACTTAAGTTTCTTGTCCTGTCATTTGCATAAAAGGATATAATATAAAGAACCCAATATAAAACTATCTGCCTCATCTTTTAAAAACTGGGACCATGGGGCTGGAGAGATAGCTCAGCGGTTAAGAGCACTTGATGGCTCTTCCAGAGGTCCTGAGTTCATTTCCCAGCACCTACATGATAGATCACAACCATCTGTAATGGGATCAGATTCCTCCTGGTGTTCAAGACAGAGCACTCATATACATGAATGAATAAATCTTTAAAAAAAAAAAAATGGGCCAGGCGGTAGTGGTGCATGTCTTTAATCCCAGCACCCAGGAGGCGGAGCCAGGCAGATCTCTGTTAGTTTGAGGCTAGCCTGGTCTACACAGTGAAATCCAGGACAGGTACCCAAAACTATACAGAGAAACCCTGTCTTGAGAAGCCCAAAAATAAATAAATAAATAAATTAATTAATTAATTAGTTAATTAGTTAATTAATTAATAATAGTAAAGTCTCGTTACTACTGTTCCCTCTAGCCCCCTGTAGGTGAACATTTTTTGTTTTGTTGTATTTTTCCAGTCAGGGTTTCTCTGTGTAGCCCTGGCTGTCCTGGAACTAGTTCTGTAGACCAAGCTGGCCTTGAACTCACAGAAATCCTTCTGCCTCTGCCTCCCGAGTGCTGGGTGGGATTAAAGGCATGGGCCACCACTGCCTGGCTAGGTAAACATTTTTGTTGGTTTCTTATTTAACCTTCTCTGGTTCCTTTTGTAAACACATTCTGTACATATGCACCCTACCCTCACTTTCTTACCTGAGAAGTATTAGTTTCAGTATACTGTTCTGTGCTTGGCCTCTCCAGTCAGTGTATCTCGGATTGTTCTGTATCAGGGTGTGGAAAAACTCCTTGTTCTACATTTTGGCTGCATAGCTCTTCATTTTGCCTGGGAGAGACGATTTAATCTAGTCTTTGACTCCTGGGTACTTGGATTATTGGATTATTTTACTCGTTACTATTTCCAAACTCTAGCACAGTGAGTGACTTATGTATCAGAGAAAGGCATGTGACATTGCACTGTCCCCAGGGTAGACCCTCAACCCCGAAAGGCTGTAACTGCTCCGAAGCCCGGCTCTTGGGGAACAGGATGTCCTGGCCGCAGCCTATCTCTTTCTCTGTGACAGGTTATGTTTACAGAGGAGGATGTGAAGTTTTACCTGGCTGAACTGGCACTGGGCCTGGACCACCTACACAGCTTGGGCATCATTTACAGAGACCTCAAGCCTGAGAAGTGAGTAAAGCTACTGCCCTGTTCCTGGACTCTGCAGGGTGCAGAGACCTGGGCCTCTTCTAGAGCAGGGCCACTCCGAGGGAGATGGTGTGGCTCTCTCCAGGAACTCAGCCTTTTGCGGGCTATCGGGAGGTGTTGAGATGGGCCTGCGGACCTTAACAGCAAATGGACCTTAGGTAATTAGGGACCGCCTGGTCAGTAGTGGTCAGCAGGCCACCAGGCAGCTGTGTCATGTCCTGTCCCGTCCTGTCCTCCCCGCCAATGGATGTGGCATTGGAGGTGCTGCTGTTAAAGATGCATCCCTCGGCCAGGCGGTGGTGGCGCACACCTTTAATCCCAGCACTTGGGAGGCAGAGGCAGGCGGATCTCTGTGAGTTTGAGGCCAGCCTGGGCTACAGAGTGAGTTCCAGGACAGGCACCAAAACTACACAGAGAAACCCTGCCTCGAAAAACAACAACAAAAAACAAACAAACAAAAAAGATGCACCCTCCTGGGGTTTTCCTTCCAGTGCTGCCTTAAGAGCTGGGACGGGTCTGGTGGTGGAGTTAGACACACCTCCAGTCAGGCATTGGTGCACAGCTGTGGAACCAGCTGCTAAAGAGGCTAAGACCGAGAGTCTGAAGCCAGCCTGTACACTATGGTAGACGCTGTGCTTCAAAGAAGGACAAGTTCCAACCGGGCGCCTGTGGCACACGCCTTTAACCCCAGCACTTGGGAGGCAGAGGCAGGCGGATCTCTGTGAGTTCAAGGCCAGCCAGGTCTACAGAGCGAGATCCAAGACAGGCACCAGAACTACTCGGAGAAACTCTGTCTTGAAAAAAAAAAAAAAGAAAGAAAGAAAGACAAGTTCCACAGACATTCCCGTCTTGCGGAAGGGAGTTACTTTCCTGAGAGGTAGTTTCCCCTCTAGTAAGATGGGACCCTAATGTCGCTGCCAGGCCTCCCGTCTGCCACCTTTCATTGCGTAGATCTGGGCCGAGCCCTTCTTCTGGGCAGGCCCAAGTTCCTCCATCCAGTGGTACCACGAGAGCCCACATAGCGCCTGCTGCTAAGGCTCCTGACTCCTGTCTCTCTGTTCCAGCATCCTTTTGGATGAGGAGGGCCATATCAAACTCACTGGTAAGTGGAGTGCATCTGCTCCTTTGGACTCCAGGGAAGCGGGAGAGGGGCTCCTGATAGGTATCAGCTGAGGCCTGGGAGTTCCCTACGCTTCCTGAGAGGTGGTGCCAATTATCTCCACGCATCCAAAGCCCAGGCCCAGTTATGGTGTTTATTTTTATTTTATGTGTGTGTGTTCCGGGGGTGGGGGTGTTACCTGTGAACCTCATGCATGCCCACAGAAGCCAGAGTCCCCTGGAACTGGTCATTAGCCATCATGTGGGAGCTGGGAATCGAACCTGGGTTCTCTGGAAGAACAGCCAGTGCTCTTAACTGCTGGGCCACCTCTCAAGGCCCCCAGGTCCCAATTCAGAATCAAGCTCCCCGCTACAACCTTTGGCAAATCCCCTTGGGTCTCAGCTTTCTCCTGGTGTGGAGGGGATCCCCTGCTCTGGCCAGGGGAGCTAAGTGAGGTGGCAGGAGTCCTGAAGATGGCTTCTCTGCCCTCCATGCCGCAGACTTTGGCCTGAGCAAGGAGGCCATTGACCATGAGAAGAAGGCCTATTCATTCTGCGGGACAGTGGAGTACATGGCCCCTGAGGTTGTCAACCGCCAGGGCCACACCCACAGTGCAGATTGGTGGTCCTATGGGGTATTGATGGTGAGTGTCCCAGCAAGGGTAAATGATCCAGCCCCAGGTTCAGGACTCAGTTTCCCCATGTGTCATCTCACCCCCCCCCTTGTCTCACGACCAAGCTTGTCCCACCCTGCCCACTGTTCTCCTTCTTTCCTGGGAAGATTCATGGGTTTCAGTCCAGCTGAAGTACCCTTCACCTGACTTGGGATTCTCCGGGGCCTCCCAGCTGCTTCTGGAATCTAGGGTTGGGAAGGGGGCAGAGGCAGGCATAGCCCTTGCTCCAGATAGACTCTGAAGTCCAACAGGCCAGCAGAAATCCCGGGGCTGGATCAGGGTAGCCTGGGAAGGAGGGAGAGGAAGGACAGATGAAAATTGCACCTTTTCCCCCTGCAGTTTGAGATGCTGACGGGCTCCCTGCCCTTCCAGGGGAAGGACCGGAAGGAGACCATGACCCTGATTTTGAAGTAAGCACCAATGCTGCCCTGGTACTAGTACAGACTTCCTAATCCCACCCCAGTTTCGGGGCCAGAGAGAGGCCTTTCCCCTGCCTCCACAGACCCTTGTCATCTGCAGGGACCAGCGGGAGGTGTGGGAGGTGAGTTCGGAGGTGTGGGAGGTGAGTTCGTGGCTGGCTTCTCTGGACTGAGCTGGGAAAGAGACCCGGACAAAGGAAGGGGCTCTGGAGCTTCTGGGGCGGGGCTTGTCCCTGATGAGACCTACCACTGTTCCAGGGCGAAGCTAGGCATGCCCCAGTTTCTGAGCACGGAAGCCCAGAGCCTCCTGCGGGCCCTGTTTAAGAGGAACCCTGCCAATCGGCTTGGTAAGCAACCCCAGCTTGGGAGGAGACGTGGCTCTGGAGGGACAGGGTACAGCTGCAGCCTAGGCCGCAGGGCCACATCTGGGACTGAAAGGAGCTGTTGTCCTTTGTGTGAGCAGACAATGCCGCTGGCCACCCTATTTTCTGGCTCCATGTATGGTGTTGGGAGGGTGACCTGTGTGTAGGGGGGAGGCAGGAACTGAGTCATCCCTGCCCCCTCAGGGACAAGGACAGAGAGAGGCCCCCACACAGCCTCTCTGCCAAGGTTGCTGGCTCAAGAGGAGGCACATGGGCTCAGGAGTAAGAAAGGCCCCAGTACTGGCCCTGTCTGCCCCCACTGCCTGGCACCTAGCAGTCACTGTAAATATTTGTTGAGTGATTGGGTACCATTTATGAGCTACGTGATTGGGCAGGTGACTTTACCACTCTGAGCCCCAAGTTCCTTGTGTCGGTGGAGACAGTGTTCCCAACCCCGCTCCCAGGGTTCTTTGAGTCAGAGAGGGACCAGCCTGTCCTCTCCACAGTGTTTGCTGACTTTTTAATTGCTGGCTTCAGCTGGACTTCGGCCAGCTTCGTAAGGTCCCTTCCAAGTCCCTGGGCTGACTTGAACAAGAGTCCGTCTCAGGGATGAAGAGGGCAGTAGGAGAAGGAGGGCGGAGATGGGCCTGTGGTGGAGCGGATGAAGGACCTTGTTGGATCTCAGGAGTCCTGCTTCTGTCCTGACTGTCGCTTGGACAAGTCACCTGTCCTGCCGGCCCTTCCTTCTGTCAGTACACTGGCGCTCGATCGTAAAGTAGAAATGCCGAGTGGGCTTCGGGCTTCAGGGTGATGGATGCTGATGCAGGGCAGGGTGAGCCCAAGCTGACCTCTGCTGCAGCAGATGGTCCAGAGCACCGGGGGACAGGGTTGGTCCAGACTGCTGGGGGACGGGGTCAGTCCAGACCACCAGGGGACAGGGTCGGTCCAGAGCACTGGGGGACAGGGTCAGTCCAGACCACCAGGGGACAGGGTCGGTCCAGAGCACCGGGGGACAGGGTCGGTCCAGACCACCGGGGGACAGGGTCGGTCCAGACCACCGGGGGACAGGGTCGGTCCAGAGCACCGGGGGACAGGGTCGGTCCAGACCACCGGGGGACAGGCTCAGTCCAGAACACCTGGGGACAGGGTCGGTCTAGACCACCGGGGGACAGGCTCAGTCCAGACCCCAGGGGGACAGGCTCAGTGCCTGAGGCTGGACCTTTACTTGGTTTATTGCAGGCTCAGGCCCTGACGGGGCAGAGGAGATTAAGAGGCATGTCTTCTACTCCACCATTGACTGGAATGTGAGTGAATGTCACACTGGGGCTCTGTGATGGACACGGGAAAGGTGGGGAACGGGGCCTCTGCCACCACACCGTGGCTCTGTGATAGACATGGGAAGGTTGGGAACAGGGCCACCTAGGACCTCCGGTGGGGGAGACAGAAGGTGAGCAGCCCTTAAAATGCCCTTGGAGGGCAATGCCATGCCCTTGAAGCCTGGTCTCCCAAGGCTTCAGACTTGCTGTTATCTGCCGGGTGGTATAGCCTCCACTCTTCCTGCTGGGGCTGCTTGCAGGCTGTGGGGTTGCCATGGTGATCAGAGCATGTCCTCACCTTGCAGAAGCTCTACCGTCGTGAGATCAAGCCACCGTTCAAGCCAGCTGTGGCCCAGCCCGATGACACCTTCTACTTTGACACTGAGTTCACATCCCGCACACCCAGGGGTATGTCCCTGATCTGGTTTGTCTGTCCAGGGCTGGGCCCAGTGAAGCAGATCTTTGGGGGAATCCTGGGATACAGAGGTAGTATCAAGGACCAAGGACTCTGGGAGCTCAGGTGTGTGGGTAGATAGGCAGTTTCTGGCTCCGTGGGATTCATACCCAGTCCTGGCCTCACACTACCTGGCTGCCTCTCTGGGGCTCTGAGGGCCTCTTTGTCTCTGGGTGAGGGAATGAGATGTGGGGGTGGTTTAGGCTACAACAGGAAAGTCAGGACCCCTGCCCCAGGCATCTTCCAGCCCGTTGGGAAGACTAACCAGGTCAGGCCTCCACTCGCATCAGGCATGAGGAATCCAACTTGGCAAACCTGTGATGGAGAGTCTGGCAGAGCGGAGGTGACAGTGTGTGCCCACAGGTTGGATGAATGTAGGAATGTAGGAATGGGCTCCGGCTTCTGATGCTGGGCTCCTTTGCTCTTCTGGAACATTTGACAGTCACACACACACACACACACACACACACACACACACACACAC